CTTGAAGATGTATAAGAGTTACCGCGAGCTCTCTGATTCTTTAGGCAAAATGTTCAGCTCCTTCACCATTGGTAAATACTTAAGCCTGTGTTTTTAAATGATGATTCATTTTCCCAAAACAAACCACCAGTTTAAAAGTGAAATCAAGATTTTGCATGCATGTTTTTTTTATGAAAATAGTTTTGTTTGTATAGAACTTCAACCTTAACTTCTTTCATCCTTCTTTTCAAATCTTTCAACGTTATATCGGGAAAATTTTAACCTAATACTTTTCTCACCCTCCCTTTCAACTTTTTGCATGCATGTAATACTTAGAAGCTTGATGATTAGGGTTTGTAATGATTATGAATTAATGGTGCACGATGTATGCAATGGCAGGGAATTGTGAATCCCAAGGAATGAAGGATTTCATGAATGAGAGCAAACTGATGGATCTTTTGAACAGCTCTGATTATGTCCCAACCTATGAGGACAAGGATGGTGACTGGATGCTTGTCGGTGATGTCCCATGGGAGTAAGTCTTTCACCTCTGTTCGATGTCACTCCAAATCAGCTTGACCACCATAATTGAACTTTGTATAGTAACTCTAGAGAAGACTCTATACAGAAAACTAACTTACTTGCATCATAATAATTGCTTGTATATTATATCCTCATTAATTATGCACCTATTGAATGTGTACTTTGATGATAATTAATGAAGCCATTTTGGTATAAAATCTTAGAAATTTAATAAATAAAGAGAATGAATATGAACCATGGTTGAACATATAGACAGCACAGGCTAATGAATAACATGGATTTTTGTTCATGTCAACCAGGATGTTTGTTGAATCATGCAAGCGTTTACGCATCATGAAAGGAAAGGAGGCTATTGGTCTTGGTCTTGGTAAGAAAAAGTGGTATTTAAAAACCTTGTATTTAATTAATTGATTTAGATAGAGATTCTGAAAAACGTTGTTTGAATTTGATTATTTCAGCACCAAGAGCCATGGCAAAAAGCAAGAACAGGAGCTAGACTAGTGGGACATTGATGACCTGGTCCATCCTTTGTGATTGTGGTGCCCAGTTGGGTTAGTAACTAAAGTAAGGATAAGCAGCAGCAGCAGACAGGGATGGACATTGCAGGGTGTTGAATTATAGTTAATTTGTGTATCATTATGGTTTGTTATATGATATTTCAAACAAAACAATCAGATGGATGTATGTCTAATTAAGTACTAATCATGAACAGAAACATAATGACTCTCAATTATGTTGTTGTTAGACTTGGCTTTCTTATATATCTCTGCTTGTGTTGTGTGAGTGCTTGCTTAATAATAATTTTAAGATGTGTTTGTCTGTTGTAGTTGTAGCGACATATTATCATGCTTTACATTTAAAATTGTCTTGTAAAGTTTTCCCTTATCATTATGAGATTCCTTGCTATTAATCATTTTTCACATAATAACAAAACTGTATTTATTGCATTTACGTTAGTTTTTGTTTCGATCATCAATACCCCAATAGATAGTACTGGAAATGTTCCCTGAACATGGTGGATGGGAAACAACAACATGTGCGTGTGCATGGAGCATTTATGCATGCCATTTCAATTACTTTCTTTAATTTATTATTATATTCCTTCAAGATATTGCTGTCTAATTTTCCATATATATATAGAGAGAGAGAGAGAGTGTGTGCTTTCTTGGTCAAACTTATTAATTTTATAGATTGACGAGATGGGAAAAACATCAATACTCGTAAATCATCCCTCGTTTAACTTTTCCTCGCATTTACAAATGGAATTTAACTTGTTGGTGTTTCTTTTCTTAGATGATTTGGTGATGTCTTTTTTTTTAACTCGGTAATATCCTTAATTAAAAAAAATTACGGCTAGTTCAGTATATAAATATTTTCACTGAAAGTGATTGAAAATTACAAAACTATTGTTTTCTATCCTCGCACATAGATTTGAATGGTCTAAACCTTTGATTAATATTGACCATGAAGGTGAAATTTATTAAACAGACAGCATTTAATAGCAGTCCATGATTGACTTGAATACGCATCTTTTTTTCTGAGACATGGCTCAGTTATAAAGTGTCATCTCACATTATAAGTTGTATATTGAGTCGATGTCACCAAATAAGTAGGTGCCTCTTTAATATGTCAAATTGTTGGTTTCAGTTTCAGTGAAATTATCATAAGCATATGTTTGCAATTTGTTTTAAAAATATTCCATGTCTGCATGTGCTTGGATCTTCCTCATCTATATGGGATCTTAATTTAACTGTTGACTTACAAGTTGGTAATCTGGTTGGTGGTTTCGAATTTTCCATTTTTTTTTTGTGGTGATTGATGAAACTAACATGCAAATGCAAGAAAGCGATGATGACAAGTAATTACTGTCACATATGGTTTGGAAACTAACATTGTCGAGTGGTCTCCACCGTAACATTTGATAGGTTGTGCTGCGGATCAGAGCCAAGTTGCTTTCAGCAGTTCAATCACTGCAATTAGATTTGATGTTAAATTTTGTTAACGATATGTATACGGATTAAAATATATTTTTTAGGGTATAGAGATTGGAGTGTTCTTTTTCTATCAGTGTTAACGTTATCTTGAACATGATGAGATGTAGGTATTAATTGTTTTCGAAGGACTTGTATTGGGATAAATTTTAGTATAACGCTTATCCTCAAAACAAACGAATGCACATTGAATTTTATATAAACATTATGTATTTAATGTATGTAGATATTACAATTTGTCATTAAATTGGAGTAATAATCACAAAAACAGTGTATATAGAGATAAAGTTATAAACAACAAAATTACCATCCGAGAAAAATGCAAGAAGGAACACTGAAGTTGGTGGTTATTTATTATCAATTATTGTAAATACAATTTTGCATTTATGTTCTTTCATTTTCTTCATAGCTTCACACACGCATATAATAAAATATAATATAATATAATATGTTTTAACTATTTTATTTTTCAATTCATTAGATGATGATGAAGAATATGGATAAGAGGAGTCATGACTTTGAAAATAAAAATCTTGTGATTAAAAAATAATGGCATGAGGATAGTTTTGTAGTTTCACACCTCCTAAATAGCTTGTTCTTATTTGATTTGTCTGAAGTAAACATCTTTCTGAAATTAAATTTCTCTTAATCCAACTATTGTAATGATAAATAAATGGTATTTAACCTTATAACCATGTGTCTTACAAATTCTCTCTTATTTATGACTTGTCTCAACAACTCAAGGAACGGGAATAGTTATAATAAAGTTAACTAGACTAACGTTTCTTTGAATTGTCTCTTTTTTTATTAAAAAAAGAAAAACAAACTTGCTAATGTCTTCAAGTATTAAAAATATTGTCTCTATAGAAGTTCACGGAAAAATTATCAAACGACTTTGCTTTTTATCAATCCACGTGTTTGACAAAATAGAACAACCATATTTGTTCTATATACAATTTGTTATCTTTTAACAACTTTTCAATGTTATTCATCTCCATATTAAGGAGTGAAACTTCAATTTCATAAAGAGCTAGAAAAGTAGGCTCATAAGAATTGATAGCATCAATCATATCTTTGAAAGCTCTTCAACCATACAAGGTTAAATGATAAGCTAGCTTAATACCAAAATGCAGTTTATTGATGAACCAATATCTTTAAACTTGCACACGCTTCTTTTATACTAGTGTGTCTTAGTTTCTCCCTTTTATTTCTTACATATAACGTTGGATTTCTACAAAACATATTTATTTATTTCTCCTCTTATCACTAGTCACAGAATTTTCAACATCATCTAAACTCATTATTATCATCAGTCACACTATCAATAAAATTGATGGAGGAGGCGGTTTATCTTTAAATAATTTCGAAAACTCCCCTCTCACAGTATGTGGACTCTTGGTGCAAGTTGCAACATTGCCATTAGATGTATGTTGACTATAGTAATTCCTCCTTTCATAATTTTTCAATAATAATTACAAACAATCATGTTAAAGTTTGATTCATCTATTGAATGACAATGTTTCTATCTAAGTCATTTATGTTGGATGTTCTTGAACTCCCATGTTCAGTAACCATTGTGTATGCCAAAAAATAAGTGATAAAATTTTTCAGAAAATAATTATTAAGTGAAAAAAGAAGAAAAATTAGGGAGATGAGTTGAGTGATGCTAAATAAGAAAATGAAAAAAAAAACATAAGAGAACTTGAAATCAGCATCGACGACATCAACAATGGCATCGACTGTGTGATGACTGACAACATTACACAACAACACAAGTTGGATCAATACTTTCAAAATTCCTTCAAAGTTAATTACATCTTAATGTTAATTTTTTCCCTTAACAAACTGTATGACATTTATTAAAAACCAAGGATGTGTTCACTACCTTAACTATTAACAAAAATTTAAAATGATAAAATGAAAACTTTTGTATTAAAATTATAATTTTTTATTATATTAAAAATAAAATATATTAATACTTATTATATTGAACTTGAACTGATTATTTATCTTAAAATATATGCTTACAAGCTAAAGTGTTCATAGCTACAATAAGAAACCGACTATTTATAAACATGTTTACAAGCTAAAGTGTTCACTGTTACAATAGGGTGTATATAAATCAGTATTGTCGTGGCCTCTGGTAGTGCCAACCAAATCAATGTATAGTAGTAATAAGAATGGAGTAGCAGTAAAGGCAGATCCATGGTAAAGCATACATACAGGGAACCATATACATTCAAAAACAAAGTTAACATTCTTTCTCAAATTTTATTTATTTTCATTTTTTCGTTGACAGGTTATATTTTTAGTTGAAAGGACAGAAAACGAGAGCAGTGAGTTGGGATCCCCCGACACACCTAAAATCAGAGCCAGCAGTGGTTTTCATGTCATGTCTAGATACTTGGACCCACTGCCAAAACATGTCAGGTAAGCTGGGGATAATTTTTTGGAACAGTTAACGATAAAATTTTAGTAAAGCTGAGGAAAAAAAAGTAAAAGTGCACTAAAATTTGTTGTATAATAATAATTAAAAAAAAATCAGTTTGTTTGACTCTGAAAAATCACGAAAATAAATTATTTTATTAAAGACATCCCTTCTGAGGTTATAATACTCTCCTCAGGATTGACTTGGCGCAAACAGATTCCTCAGAAATCAACTGACTTGATAACTATATCAGCATTTTTCTTGGACTTCATTATAAGTTCTGCATTGAGCCTGTCGTTGTTCTCTATCTGCATCATGAGATATAGTGATGCATGCAAGTGTATATCACTCAGTGCCAACAAAATAGATCAAATATATACATTCAACACGCAACTGGGCAGATAATCAGAATAACTAATATCTTAAGTTACAAGATGAGTAGTTTACCCGTTGTTTAGCAATGTCTGGAGGTTTGCCTATAGATGGAGGAGACACAAATCACAAGTAAATTCAAATGTCTTCCTTAGGGAGGAAACTGATACACATTGGAGAAAAGTACATGGTAAATACCAGTTGAAATATGCCTCTTTAAAACTCGCTGCATAGCTTTGTCAATGTCAATATCGATAAACCTAGAAAAGAATAGGAACGAACAAATTACAAAAAAGGATACCCTTGACAATTCTCTTAAGTTCAAAAGCAGAAATCGCTATCAGATTAGGTTGCATCTTTGTTGATTCATGTAAAGCCATTTTCTACAGATTTTGAAATTGCCCAACTGTCATTCTACAACATAAACCACCAGCTCCAGTCTCACAGGTTATGTAGATATGAAACAAAAATGCAGAAAAATGAATATAAACCACTGACAGGGACCAGAATTCGCTAGTTTGAGATTTTAGTGAACTCTTTCAACAAATGGTGCAACTAGAAAGGCAAATAGTCATGCCAAAACAATCATACTATGCTATGTCAGAATACATTAGATTCCAAACAAAGATATACATTCTTTGCTTTCAGTACAGGTCTAAAGACACATGTGCATGTATTTCTTATCTAAACGACAAAAGTGTATAATAATACATAGTTTTTTATCAGATGAATACACTCTCATAGCTAAATATGGGATTTATAGAAGAAATAATTGAGATATTAGCCTCGAAGTGAATCGATGCGTTTATTTCTATCCCAAGTCATCTGTATCTTCATGGGCTTCGGAAACCAAAGATCTAGCTAGAAACAATAATTACATGCATGAGACAAGCACAATTAATGATCAGCTGAAATACGTGGTTCAGTAACATACAATTCTTTCACAAGAAGAATTTTTAAGCAGTGTCACCGGCTCGGCTGAATTTTCATCAACTTAACGTACAACTTTCAAAACTAAAAAGATCAACAGGAAGTATAGAAGACATATGTGCCTGGGTGAAATCAATACTTGCCATTTCTCGTCAAACAAAGATGATATCTCCTTCCATACCCCATCTTCCAAGAGTATATAGTTACCTTCTACAATAACAACCTTGTGCCTAAACAAATGAAAAATATAATAAAATATATTCATGCAGTGTATATCAACACATCCAAAATAATCAGACATGTAGCAAGTAGCAACAACTTTTAAATTATAAACCCTGATGTGTGAAAAGACAGCTAATTGGGGATAAACAAAGAAATAAGAATACAAGTCTTACAGAAAAACCTCGTAATACAAGATATTATTGCCTTACAGAAAAACCTCACTTTAGAATTGTTCATCATATCGATAATATAACGAACAACCAAACTATTGAAACCAATGTCTGCCCGGGGCTTAATGTGTCAGAATTGTTATACATGTACTAAATTACCATAAAGTTGAATTATATTTGGTACATTACTCAACAGAAAATTCTTGAACATGTAAGTTTTAATTGTGACACCCGGATTTTTTGTTTAAAAAATATTTACTGTATCTTGGCAAGAGTTTTAAAGATAATGGATTTCGTAACCAATTCAAACATAGACACAATCATATCATCCGGTGGAGAATCTGATTATTCCCTGTCAAACTTTATCTTCTACCCTCATTAATGACGACAATTTCTCTCAAGGTGTTAGCTTTAAATATTTATCTTTCATCATTTGCTTTTGTTCAATATATAATTATAATGTGTCAAATTATCAAAATGTCCACATTTTAATGTTGAAATACTCACTGAAGGTTCACAAAGATATCATCTTCCACTGGGTCCCCAACACCATGGTCAAACGATGGTACATAAACTGATCCCTGAAGATTTTGTTTCACCAAAATGCAAAAGAGCAAACGAGATAAGAATTCCACCATGTCAATCCATAGATGCTAACTGTTCTTTCTGTGTATCCCAGTTTTCCCACAGAATTCGCCCATAGAGAGATAATCCGCATAATTTGAGCTAGAAAAATTTTATGGCCATGAACCAATTCTAATGTTTCCAATCCTGCTGATAATAACACCGCTAAATCTTAAAAGTTAATAATAATAAATCTTACATCAATTCTTAGATTCTTGAGACATGTGAGTAGCCGCAATGGATTGAATGTCCAGGGAGCTGATATACCAATTGAAAGATCAATGACTTTCTGATGAAATAGAATTTCTGGAATTAATGAATAATAAAAAATACCTCCCCTTCTGGCATGTGCTTCCTCAGGATTCTATTATCAAAAAAATCACTCAGAATGTCAGAATTATGATTCCTCATGCTATCAACGGTAAATAAGGATATCATTTCACAGGTATTTGTACAGTTTACTAAATGTAGTTCACTCTAGAACTTCTATTTCTATTTGTTTGGAAAGGTGACTAATTTATGGTCTAATCTTCCAATAATGTGAAAGTAGCATCAATTCAATTTCAAAGGAAAGAGATCACTAAAAAAATACATCGCATGTGCATATCCCAACCTTTTGAATACTTTGTCAAATGGAAAATGACAACAGATAACCCACTTAATGCACTTTAAAGTACAACTGATTTGATTGTACCCTAACTAGTCAACTGTAGATCATCACTAAGATCAATGAAATGAATCTGGTATAAAATTTCATATGGATAGTATGAGAAATAGAGAAGATTGGGAGAAAATATCCCTTGTGTGTTTAGCATACACATAGGGTA